AACAAACGAGGGGCTGTGACAAACTGTTTCGTCGGAGTTTCACCGACTCATCAGGAGGCTGAACCCTCAACAGTCTGCAGAATCCCCTCACTGATTACACTGTAAATGATAATCTACCTCAAACAAAATCAAAGTAGACTATATATATATATATATATTCATATATATATATTATATATGTAAACTAGGCTACTAGCTGGCCTCTCGGGTCCTGGGTGGCCAGCCCATGCAAGGATCAAGGAAGGTCCCAGCAAAAAAAAAAAAAAAACAATTCCAAAAAATCAGAAAAGAAACTGTCTTTTGTAAAAAAGAAAACTGAAAAACTTTTGTCTTAGCATCACATCAAAATCTTCACCAAATTTAAAATAAAAAATGAAAAAATTATATTACCTGATTGGACGTCCGGGACCCCTCTGACCGTCTGGGGATGTCCGATCGGACAACTAGTCGAACATTCTCCCCACGAAGTCTGTCCGAAGCCCGAATGGTAAAACAAAACAAAACAAAAAAAACTAAAAAAAAATCCGAAACAAAACTATGGAATGCAGAAAAAGAAACTGAACAACTTTTGTCTTAGCATCACATCAAAATCTTCACCAAATTTAAAATAAAAAATGAAAAAATTATATTACCTGATTGGAGGTCCGGGACCCCTCTGACCGTCTGGGGATGTCCGATCGGACAACTGGTCGGACATTCTCCCCACGAAGTCTGTCTGAAGCCCGAATGGTAAAAAAAAATAAAAAAAATAAAAAATGAAAAAAAATCCGAAACAAAACTATGGAATGCAGAAAAATAAACTGAACAACTTTTCCCTAGGGGTTACATCGAACTTTTTTATCAAATTTTAAATAAAAAATAAAACAATGTTATGTAGAAAAATAAAGTTTAATAAACCGAACAACTTTTGCCTTAGTCTTGCTATTGTTTCGTTTCCAGTGTGAGTCTGAGTGTGTGTGTGTGTGTGCGTGTGTGTGTGTGTGTGTGTGTAGACAATGCATCTGTGTGTGTCTACATAGTGCATGTGTGTGTAACTGTGTATATGTGTGCTCACGTGCATGTCACTCGTTGTGTTTGTGTGTGGATAAAATGTGTGTGTGTGTGTGTGTGTGTGTGTGGATGCCGCTGTCACTGCAGCTGCTGCATTTGTCGGAACGGATGGTCCACACGCTGCGTCAGATGAAGCAGTTGCAGTCGCTGCATGCGCAGCAATTGCTGACTGCAGCAGCAGACCCTCCTCTGTATGTGTGTGTGTGGATGTCGCTGTCACTGCAGTTGCTGCATCTAGCGAAGTGGATGATCCATGCACTGCGTCAGACGAAGCAGTTGCAGTCGCTGCATGTGTAGCGGTTGCTGATTGCAGCAGCACGCCCTCCATTTCAACTCCCCAAGCAATGTTTCCCCCCCTAACACCCCACCATCACACCTCCCCCACAATATCTGATTTTGTTTTTTTTTTTTGCTTGGAACAACCTGAAAAGTTTTTTGGGGGGTCCCCTAGTGGTGCGCAGAACCCCCCCGTTTTTTTTTTGTTTTTTTTTTTAATTGCAAAAAAAACAGTTGTCCAATTTTTCGGACAACTCCCCCATGACCGTCTCCCGGAGACGTCTCCCTATCGGACAGTTGACAGCCTAGTAAAAAATAATTTTTTTATTTTTATTTTTATTTTTTATTTATTTTTTTGCCCAGTCGGGCAAGCGACTTTGGGTCACTCTAGTAACCAATTATATAAATAAATAAATAAATATGGTAAAAAACTTCAATGTGACCCTGATGCAAAAATTATTCGTTTGATTTTTATACATAACATTTTTTTTTTTCATATAAATTTTTTTGTTCTGAGACCTTCCCTAGTCCTTGCACGGTCGGGCCGCCCAAGAAAATAGGGTGACCCGGACGACCCGACTGGTGGTCCATGTTCTAACGTATTGTTTCATTACATAAGAAATGATGATAACCTACATTGCTATTTTTTTTTCTCTCCTTATGTTTTTTTTTAACCTTTTTTAAAAAAAAATGAGACACTATCAATCATTCGCCCTCATTTTTCAAATCAACAAGTATAATAAGACAATGTATAAAAAAAGTGAAATATTTTCTTATATAAGCCCCCCCAGTCACATATATGTTTCTATATTGATTTTTAACCTTTACGTACTATTTTTATAACCATTACTTTATCCTCCTTACCACAACAGAAAAATTCCCGCGAGAAATGAAAGTTGAAAAAACATTCAATAGAAAAAAAAATCCTTCATATTTATAGATTATCATTCCAATTTTTTTCCAGTTCTAAAATTTTTAGTTTTATTTGATAAGTTCCCGTCTAAATATGAGTTTTCCATTCCAATTACATCTATTTGTTTAAGATGGAATGAAAGTCTGAACGAGTTTATGAAATGTTTTAATCAAATTTTCATTCTACTACAACAAATATCTTCTAATTTAGATTGGATTAACGTATTTATGATTGAAAATCCTTACATAGAATGACAGTTCAATTAAAATATTTCATGAACTTATCCAGACTCTCATTCCATTTCTAGCATGCAGTCTAAATAAGAAGGGATACCCCATTCTTGGAAGAAGAATTTTCAAGTAAGACGAAAAATTTTAAAATTTGAATGGCATTTTTTAAGATAGAATGAAAATTTGAAATTTAGAATGTAATTTTACTATAGAATGGATATTTAATTCTGGGAATTTTTTCTATTGCAGTACCACAAATGGTTAACGATCACCTGAAATTTCAGAATGAAAGATTGTGAAATGGCTTGAAACCGTTGAAATGGCCTAAAGACACTTCACGTCACTTCATGAGTTTCAGGTGGTTTGGGGGTTCACTTTTATGGTTTTTTTTTTTTTTTTTTTTCATGTTTTTGTTTTTGTTTTAACGTTCCCGTGTGTCGGTTGAAATAACCTGAAGTGACCGAAGTTTTTGGAAGTAGTTTCAGATCCCCTATCTAAATGGTAAGGCGGGGGCATCGAAAAATATTTTCAAACTTTCAATCGCTTCATGTTTTCTTAGGAGTTTCATGGATGAAGCTTATGAAAAGGGTTTCATGTACCCCCATCCAACCATTTGGATTGGGGGACTTGAAACCGCTTTCAGATTTCACCCACTTTAGATCATTTCAACAAATTCAGGTGAAGATATGAAATCGTAGTAATGTTCTGAAGTGGCTGAAGGTTCTAAAGGGGGGTTCAGGTATCCCCATCCAACCATTTGGATGTGGGGACTGAAAACCGCTTTCAAAATTTCAGCCACTTCATATAATTTCAAAAGTTTGAGGTGGAGACCTGAAACTGTTGTAATAACTTGGCGTGGTTTAAGTTTTTCAAATGAGTTTCTGACCCTACATCCAAGTATTCCAACAGAAAAATTGTGGGTTTTTTTTTTGGCGGTTTATCATATGCGGGCACCCTTTTTAAACTGTTGGTTTCGTGTTAATAAATAGTTTGCCGGAGGTAGTGTCATGTGTTCCACCAAAAGTGAAGGAACTCAACGTTGATAACATGTGACACTTTGTTAAACACTTTGTCAATTGATGAAAAGTTGTTGATAAGCTGTTTATAAGTTGTTGTAATGTTGTTTACAAGTTGTTTAAATGTGTTTAAATGTTGTTGAAATGTTGTTTAAATATGATGAAATATTGTTGAGATGTTGTTTAAATGATATGAGAGAGAGAGAGAGAAAGAGAGAGAGAGAGAGAGAGAGAGAGAGAGAGAGAGATGGCGTTTGAGAGAGAGAGAGAGAGAGAGAGAGAGAGAGAGAGAGAGAGAGAGAGAGAGAGAGAGAGAGAGAGAGAGTTATTTTCCCTCCCGTACTGATGATGGCAGAAAACTTGCCATGTTGCTATTTATATTATTCGGGGGTTTATGTAGCTTCTGTGAACCTTGAATGCAGCTGCAAAGACAAATGTCCACAGGGGTGTCAAAACGATATTGAAACGCAGGTTGGCTACCGGGTGCCAATTCCCAGCATCACTCACATGCACGACAAGAACATGGCACACAATAGTCAACCACTCATGTACTTCTCGCCCAGTATTAAGATGAACATGTTTTCTAGTGTCTTCTCAATACTACTTCAAGACATCATATTGAACATTTTTGGGAGTCTGTAATGCGTTTTCTGCAAACGAACCAAATGATTCGTGTTATTGCATAATGAAACGCTGACATATTTTGGGCCACATTACACATGACGCAGTGCGTATCCTTGCAAGACAAGCAACCATGTAAACAATAAATTGATGGTGAGTAATGTGAGATGCGAGACGCAAATGCCACGTGATGGTCGAAACACATCCACGACAGGACTTGTACAAAAACCATTCATTAAATAAAACATGTTTGCGTATTGTACAGTCAGCCCTAAGGGTTCTCCAGAGTCTTTTGTTTTCGGATAACAACTCTCTCTCTCTCTCTTATATTTTACATTTTGGTCCTCATTGGCTTGGTGTCATGCCACTGACTGTGAGTGGAGGTGCAGCTCATGTCCCCTACAACACTGTTGCCATTGTCTGCTCCCTATGTTCCACCCCCAACCCCCGTCCATCTACATCCGGACCCCTTCTTCTCCTTTTCACGGCCTTGCGCACAAACTTTCTTCATTTCTCTCTTCGTCCGCACGTTTGTCGTCGGTGGGCGCAATGAACTCAAGTTCAAAATCATCATCTGTTGTAATCATGTTATTGGCGTCTCTCCTCCGTACAGCAGGCAACCCGTCTCTGTACAATGCGACGGCCTTCTCTGCAACAGAAACAGCACGGTCGAGCTTGAAGACAGAAAAACTTAAAACGGTGTCTCGGGAGCGGAGCGACGCAGCAATCACTTTCTTGATAGTTGCAAGTTTTTGTATTTGGTCCGCTGCCTTGCTGGTCTTTGCCGTCTGTTCGACTTCAGTTTTCACTACCAGCTCCGCAAATGCAAGTTGCTGCAACAATACACGAAGGTTGATGCCATCCCTTCTTATTTGAAAAACTTTTGTCAGTGCCGTCTTGAAAGGAGGTGCGCCCCATGGATCATTGTCGCTCCTTCTCCATGTTGTGTTCCCTTTCATCTCTGCCCGCATCCTGTTGCGAGTCGGAAGCTGGTGGTCCGTTTGGGCTGACCGGACCAGCGGCAGACCTTTTTCGGCCCAAAACCAATGTCTCAATTGCCAAGATATCTCGCCGCGGACCGTTGTCATAATCCGATTGCATTCCCCGATCACTGTTCGGATTCCGTACGTTGCCACGTGCAACCGTAGTCCTTCCTCCACATCTTTTCCTATCGATTTCGCAGTTGTTTGCAGTGCCGTGAAAAAAATGTCCTTCGTTGGGTACAGCGTGGCATTCTTTGCTGCAGAAAAAGCAAAGGCTTTTGCCACCGAACAAAAAAGTCTGTCTTTCATTTTCTTTGTAAAACCCCCGGTTTGTTGCGTTGTTGGTTCGCCAGCATTGCCTCCACCGGTGCTGCTTCGCCTACGCAAATTGGTGCAATCTGGGAAAAAAATACAAAAATAACAACCAATTATTGATTTAGTAATAAGAAGACCCTCCACGATACGTGTTCTATGTGTTGTAATCACAAACAAACATAAGACCGTGAACTCCCCTGCCATACCCTCCTCCGTAACACCTCTCATAAAGACCCCCTCCCAACGGCCCCCTCCCTTTCTCCCCCTCCCCTTCCCCCCCTCCCCCCCGTGAACCTCGTCATTTCTGCTGCATGCAATAACGACTGTGTTGTGCATAAATAGTGGTGTCTTTATAAGGCGCCCTTCATCTTACCCTGTAGCGGTACATTCTCCCTTTCCACAATTTGTTTGTCATTCGATGAAGTCTCCGGTGCGCGTCCCTTTTTCTCATCAGTTCCGCATTGTGCACTGTTCTCAGCAGATGTAATCTCTGTTTCTTCGTCTTCACTATTGCCTTCCTCTGCCTCTCCGCCCTCCTCGGATCTGTCCTCTCCCTCTGCCTCTTCTCCCTCCGGATTCTCTCCTCTGCATCGACATCATGGTGACCGTCACTGTTGTCACCTTCTCCTCGTTCTTGCATTCTCTCGTGTTCTACTTCTTCTGACATTTCTTCCGCACAGTTTTCCTCTTCGTCTTCCTCCTGAGCTGTGGTTCGTAAATCGTATGACCCTCTGAGGTCAATTGCTTCAGGACTCCTATCTTTTCTGCATATTATTCTTTTCTTTGTCCTCAGTTGTTGACTCTGTGTTTTTTCTTCTCGTCTTTTCTTCTGTGGCGCTGTCGGAGGTTGCCTCTCGAGGTTGCCGTGTCCCTTCCGCTGCAAGGGAGTCGCGGCAGGTAACTTGTTGTGTGCGAGCAGTTTCCCACTTTGTTTTTTTCTCGGTGGGACAGAGAGCACATCTTCTGTTCTACAGACTATGTTCGTCTCCCGTCTCTTGAATCGGGGAATATCCCTGATGGTATGTCTTTGCTTGACAGTCTTCTGGCCTTCCTTTGCTGTCCTCTCCCTCTTCTCTCTCCCCCCTGTGGACTTCAAGGTCTTGCACAGATACTCGTACCTTGGCTTCAGAGTCATTCTCTTCACGCTTATTAAAAGTCTCTGACATGCATGAATTCACAAACACTCACGTTAGACATGGAATGATTTTATATTATACAACGACTATTTGTCATCCACCACCCCAGGCGAGATTTTCACACGTAGGGAGAGAGAGAGAGAGAGAGAGAGAGAGAGAGAGAGTGAGAGAGAGAGAGAGTTTTTGCTGTTATGACACGAAAGACGATATTTTTTTCTTTATTACATCACGCATTCATCCATCGACTGAGCGTAGAAGTTGGCTACTGCGTGCCAATTGGCTTCTCTACGACGTGTGAGTTCTGTATATTTGCATGCGGTTGTCAACTTCGTGTTTTCTGATCTCACGGTTTCTATCATGCCCTCGTATTTACGAACATCCACTCCGTGTTCCGTCTATGAGATCTCTGAAAACATTTTCTATGTCACATGCTGCTGCGGTGTTATATCATTTTGCCTCGACAGCACACTGCGCAAAGCGCTGTACCATTGACTGACGAAATATGTCGACCATTTGGTCGTCAACCTCCATCGCGCTAACAACTTCTGTTATATATTTTGCGGTAATGTTCGTTTGCTTACTCAGTTTTGCTAGCTTTCGCATCAATTAAGCTGCCACGTAACAAACGTAAACACCACAGTCCGACGTATTGGTCTGTTGCGAACATTCGGCGTACACTATCTTAGATCCAAGTAGATCTCTCCATGTCACCCACGACGTGTCCAACACCTTTGCTTTGTCTGCCTCGCTGAGGTATTCATACCACAAAAATGTGCGCAACGCCTTCCATTCCTGTCGGCCGCTCTGTTGAAAGGAATCGATGACGATCGCAACAGATCGTTTCTAGCCATCGTTGTCCTCCGTGACTGCCAAAAACTGGTCGACATTCAGTAGCAAGAGCAATTTCCAATGGTTTTCGTGATTCACATGGATGACAACAACACTTGTTGTTCGCAGTTCATTGCTTATTCAACGCAACTTTGACGATGTACTCTTGATCCGCCCCTGCCATCCCGCTTTCGCGACATAAACCTTCTGATTGGCGATGACTGCGGGGTGCCAGAAAGATGTGCAAACATGAAGTGTTATATTGTCTCCGTCTGGAAAATGTTCGTCATAGACGGACTGTAAGTACATATCGATCACGTTATCGTTCAGCCACTGCTTGACACCCAATCGCAATACGTTCCGTTTTGTTATCGATATGGCGTGTCTTCTTGATTTCCACGTGAACGGGAACAAGTGTTGCTCGTCCACCCTCTTGGGTCTCTTTCCAGCCTCTGCAGTCATACCCGTCGACCGATTGCCTCCTGCAATATTGAACAAAGGTCCATGCACCATCTGAGGATATTGGGCGTTATCTGTGGTCATCATCTGATACATTTCCGCATACCAAGGGTCCTTCAGTATCCTCTTCCACCGATTTACTGATCTCTCACTGCTCAATGGGAGCAACGGTTCGGTGACAGTTGGTCCACATGAGTGTTCGTCATTCCTTGCTGTTTCTGAACTGTCCGTCGCTTTGGAGCCCATGATACAACCGTTGCAATCTACCCTCTCGTGGATTTTGTCAAACTGGCTCATCTGAACAACCCTTATTCTCCGTCGTACAACAGATGTGACAACTGATGGCAGTGTCAGTCTAAATCGACTTCTCAGCAATTCCTCAATACGCTTATTTTCCCGCTTGCTGTCTTGCCATTTCTTTCAGTGCAGATTGTTATTGTGGCGTTACCTCGACCTCAACCTTTCCTGTTCACATGGCAGTCACATGGCCATGAACCTCATCTCATCAGTAACTTCGCAAGTATAGACATGCGTTGACTAGTGCGTGCCACCTCCCACTTTTTAAGTCCACGTTCGCCATACATGTGCACGCAGTAGTCAACTCTGAAGTTACCTTCGTCATACACACTGGTTTGATGCACCTTTCTCTACATTGCTGTGTAAGATGACACAGAAGTTATGCAACAGTGGTCTGAAATGCAAGCTTCGCGCTCGAAAAATCTACCGATGTTCGGACTCCATCTTTACCAAATGACTATTGTTGTTCAAACGTTTCTCTCTCTCTCTCTCTCTCTCTCTCTCTCTCTCTCTCTCTCTCTCTCTCTCTCTCTCTCTCTCTCTCTGTGTAAAAGAAAAACAAAAGTTGAGTGCATGCTGTAGTATAACATTGCAACTGCGCCCACCACTTATTGTTCTCGGAAAAACGATCAGCCTTTTAATTTTTGTTTTTTTCACAATGAGTAATTCCCTGTACACTTCTAGATTACATATCTATTCAACAAAAAACTGTCCTCCCTCTCTTTTGCATGCTTCTTCGAGCCCCACTGTGGTTTCCAAGAACGAGGAACAATGTGAACGGTGTCAATGATGGTATCAATCGTTATGACGCTACTGTGTTGATGACCGTTCACCTTCTCCCATTGCAACTCCTTACAACCTGTTGTGTGTTCCCTTTCGCTATCCACCTCTTTGTACCATTGCACGAAACAACACTTGTGCATCTCCGCAACACCACCTGTGCAAGCGTTCATGACGAAAAACATGGCTACTGATGCATATCATATGTTGTCGTTGCCACCTCTCACTGCAACATCGCTGTGCACGGCTCTCCCGTGGAACTGTGGTGAAACTCTTGCCGTCTGAACGCTTGCGCCCCTGTGCGTCCCGTTGTATGTGCAGGCGATAGTCAAGTGTGTTCGAGTGTGTATGACTTGGTCATCAGATGGAGGTTGACAACCCATCTCTGTCATGAACGTCGTAAGTGCAGCTCGAAAATCCTCTCTGCGGGGAAGCTCATTAAGTATTCTTAACGTTGCATCGCTCATACCCTCTACACCTGGCAAATGCACATCGTCCATCTGGAACCACTGGAGTTGTAGAGTTGCTGTGTCGCCCGCTGCCAGGGTAATACTTCCGGTGGCCATGCACTCTATCACGGATGACCAATTTTCTGTCGACCTCTTCCTGCGTTTTCTCACACTCTCCATCTCATCCTGCAAAGCCAATGAGCGTCGGACATGATTCACCATCTGGGAAGCAGCCTTACGCTTGTTTGATGACAAATATGGCTGTTTGCAGAACCTCTGATGATTATGCTCCCATACATCAGCTGCGAACGTGTCGGGAACACCAGATCGCTCTATGCTTGTTCTCAAATGCATAAGGTCATGCAACTTCAGAATTTTTCAATCAGAGGTTTGATATTTTCCCATCTTCGTTTTTATACTAGTTATGAAATCACCTATCAATGTGTCACAAACATCGAGAGAGGACGATGTGTGGGTTGACTTACGAAACACGTGTATGTACATTTCCATGAGTTTGATGAAACAAGCGGAAATGGATTTGTCTGTCGCACGTGGGATGATATCACAAATAATAAACACGCAAACTATCATAACAGACCGATTTTGCTTCGCTTCAAATCGTCCTTCCCTTGAAAAGAAATCACAACATGTGGCTACGGGCAACACAAGCTGCGGGTATGTCCGTGTGGATCCCTCACTGATGCTCTGCAACCTCGCATCTATCTCGTGCAATATCTCGCTTTGCGCGGTATCTGGCAACTTCTTATAAGCAGCTGCCTTGAATGCATCTATCATATGCAAAAAAATGTCGTGTTC